GATTTAAGCCCTGAATGGGTTGATGAGGTTATGGTTGGTGGATTGAGGTTATGGTTGATGATCTTCAAGGTCTTATCCAACCAGGATGATTCTGTGATTCTATGATTCTATGACTTACATCCAGGCTGTCCAACTGGTCTGATGTGCCAGCAGCCCTGCTGTCTGCTTCGTGTGCCTGGATTCTTTGCAAGCATCTATTTTCCAGCTCGCTGAGGGAAGGTTTATTAATCAGCCATTTTTCCATGTCCCCCAAGCTCTCCAGTTCAGTTCGAAACTGCCTCCTTGCCCGAATCCAAGCCTTTGCCTCATGTAGCTGCTCTTCTGTGTCAAAGGTGGTCTCTAGGGAGCTGGGACCATCTTCTTTCTTCTGGGGCTGCTGCAAAACAGACAAATTACAGAAATCTGTGGCCTGAGTTGGTTTCAATAAAAGGGAGAAGCTGCCCTTGCCAGAGGTGGAGCAAAAATAATGGGGTGTCTGGATTTGGGTGGCCCACACCTACTTGCTTTCAGTTTAAGGGCAAAAGTTGGATCCATATTTCTCCAACAGTTGGAAAGCATGCTCTTTCTTTGGGTGTGCTGGTTTCCAAAAACAGCAGCAAGCCCAACAGAGAGCAACAGTGTGGAAACACCCGTGGTAGGACATGGTCCACAGTGGTACATGTACAGGGCAAAGGACTCGGGTTCTCATGAGCTTCTGACTGACCCAGGAGAACTGGGGTGGGGTGGAGACAGGGCCACCAGCAAAGCACAGAGCATCATGAAGACAGGCAGGCCCTGCCATTTTACAGACACTGGGCTCCTTGCCACCCAGCAGCTGCTGAAATAACACGTCAGCCATGATGCTTATGAAGAGCAGCCAGAGTGCTCTCCATGCTACTTGGAGAGACAGCTCTTGTCCCTCTCCATGCTGCCAACTGGAGCTGGCTCAAGCGATGTGGCAGGGAGACATCCTGCTCCAGCATCTGCCCGGGCAGAGCCAGCCTCCTTTCCAAGGATCAGGCTCCTGATGCTCCCACCCCGACCAGCTGCTCCTTTTGCCCCTTGGCCTCTACTGCCAGTTCCTCCCTCACCACTGCAGGCAGGTGAGAATGAAAACCACAGCCCCCTGCCCTGCTCTTTGGAGGGAGCCATGGTGCTGGGACTTGGAGACCTTCCTAAGTCAGTGCCACCCGAACCAGAGAAAGGCTGCTCTGTTTTTGATACTTCTATACCTGGGCTCTCTTCATCTTGTTGCTTTCTCTCTCAGCTTGCTCTTGAGGCGACTCTGGCAAGGTGGCCCCTCTTGCTGTTCTCTTCTCTTTCTCCTTGCTTTTGGCCATGGATGCCTCCAGTTTTCTTTGTCTGCACAGCTCAAACACAGACTGTCGTTTCTACAGGAACCCAGAAATGCAATAGCAGTGTTTAGTGACATTTGCCTTTTTTATTTTTTTTTGTTAATAATCTCTCATCTCCCCTTTTTTCCCTGATTCTGCTGACGGATGGGTCAGGCAGATGCAACTAGAAAGCTCTGCTGCTACAACCAAAGAACCAAGTAATGAAAAAACTGCGCTTTTTTTCCTTTTTTTTTTTTTTTTTTTTTCTGAGATGAACAATACCCCAAATAGGTGACTGAATGGGTAAATGAGCCACAATGTGAGATCTACTCAGAACTGGCATCTGCACATTTCTTTATGTACCTGTTTTTCCTAAGATATCCCCACTTGATTTTCTACAATCCAATGACACAACGGTTGCCTCCATTGAGTTATGTACCTGTCCTGCCTGCCTGTGTTCTTCAGAAGTAGGCAATGGCAACTCAGGGCTCTCAAAATAAGCTTTTCTTTCTTTGTCCTGCCTTTCTTCTGTGCCTGCATGTTGTGGCAACAGTCTGAAAATACACACCAGGTGAGTTGGTCTGAGTGCAGGAAGACTTTCTTCTCCATCTTGCTCTCACACTGCTTACGTGCTGCAGCAGCAGGGCAAGCTCTCTTGGCACAACTGTCTCCCCCTCCACAGAGACAGGGATAACCCTGAGCTGTGAGGCTCACATGTACCACCAAGGAAATAAAGATGAGCATTTTCCCTAAGAAAGGCTCTGGGACACACAGCCTGATGTGGCCCTCTTGATGGAATGACAAGAAGATTTGCACCCTGTGCAATGGCAGGCACCTGGAGATACTGGAGCTTCTCTGCTGGCCATGACACTGAGCACTGCAAAGCAGTCCCAAATACTGTGGGACTTCCCATCCAGCAAGGAAATATTCTGTGTGGTGACATGTGTCCTGAGCAACCTGGTCTGTCCTCAGCTCATTGCTGACTCTGCTTGGAGCAGCTGGATGGACTAGGACCTCCCCAGAGCCCTTCCCACCTCCACTATCGTATGAGCCTACAAAACATCCTGCACATGCATCAGATCTCTAATCAAGTCCTTTCAGTCTCACCTCCCAGGAGGTCCTTTGCTCTCCATTTTATCTTCTGCTTCTTTCTGCATCTCAGCTCTGGCTAAAAATTCTGCAGCAACACCCCTTTGCAGCAGGTGTAATGTGTGTTGAATAGCAGCTACAAGCAGGAAAGGAGAAGAGCTCTTAAAAGAGGCAGGAGAAGGCACAGATCTGCTCTGCAATGTTAGAAGCTGTCTGAGGCCTCCCTGGCATCCCTTCTGAGACCTCCCTGGCATCCCTTCTGAGACCTGTGTCTTCAGAGGGAGATCTTAAGCCCTTCCTGACACCAGCCCTTGACTCCGTTCAACCCTTGATAGCCACATTATTCTCTTCAGCATGAGTTCCCTGCTGCTGCAGCCAATCCTTCCTCTGCGCTGAGGCCTTCCAGGGGAGGCACACCTTGGGACTTAACACCCTCTTTTGGGGGAACAATTTCTTGGCATTGCATACATGTTTGGTGCTCTCCTGGTGTATTCAACTCAAACATGTAACAGCTCTGCTGTTCCTGAGGAACTGAGATCCAGGAGCTACACTTCCCAGCTTTAAGAGAGAAGTGAGGTCTCAGCACAGCTTTAGCAACCTTTGCACAGCTGTTCCCATCGCACCACACTGTGGTGATACCAAAAGAGGCACCAACCCCCCAGTCTCCCACAGCTCGAGGCAGAGGGCGTGATTCATGGTGCTGATGGACTTCCCCAGACATTCACTCCCTCCTGCACAAGCAAACTCCCAAAATGGAAGAGGTTTACTCCTGGGCCTGGAGTACAGGGGCAAAACATACTTGAGCACCATCAGCTGCAGCTGGTGGTGCTGAGTCCTCCTGAGACCTTGCTCCAAAATGAGACCTTTGAGATTTAGGGGTAAATAGAGGCACAAAGGGTGCCTCTACAGCCCAGGCATCCATTGTAGCCCAGGCCCTGAACACCCAGCAGTAATGCAGGTGGGCAAACACACAAACTCTACCAGCAAGCAGTCACTAACCTTACCTCTTCCTCCCATGCTGCTCAAAGCACTCTCAAATTCTGCAACTGTCTCTTTGTCTGTGACATAAACTCTTCGAGGCACTGGCCTAATCTCAAATCTGGAAATAGGAAGAAGGCACCATTCTGAGAAAAGGGTTTCTTCTATCTCTATAGAGTCAACCTCCCATCCTATGTCATCAAAAGAATGTCCCAGCAGTGCTGCCTCACAAACAGCTCAGTGGCTCCTCACTAGACAAAGGTTTTGGTTTCTTGCCTCCTTGCTATCTTAGACAAGAGGGCACTTTGGAGATACTCTGATTCACACAAGTTTCACAGAAGGCATGGAAATGTAACAGCAAGAGGACTTGCATGCATCTGGTCTTTGATCTACCCTCTAAGAGAATATTTTCATGCTATGTTCAAAAGAACAGAAATATTAGGATCTTAATTCTGTTATATGTTTGGTCAGTTTCTACCAACGGAAAGACAAGGAGCAGATGAAACATTAGGTGGGTTGCCTCAACTCCTCTGCGTATGAAACGAGTTCCCTCTGATGGGAGTAATGGTAAAATGCAAACCACAATCAGCAGTGGAGGATGCATAACTCCAGACTAAGCAAAAGCAAGGATTAAATTAACTGCCAACCAGTAATTTGACGTGAGCCGAGCACATCTGTGCTTGGCCAGACAAGGGCTGCAGAAACAAATATACTCACTGTGGAAACTGGTGGACACGGCCAAAACGGCTCGGAGACAGAAGAACTTCTTTGTCTAATATGACCCATCTCCTCTGCAACAGGGACAGAAACATCTGACGTGACTTCAGGGAAATTAACTCAATGCTCACAACTGCCTTTCCATTGCTCCAAGAACTAGCGGCCTCTCAGCAAATTGCTGGCCAAGTGTCTCAGCCCCTTGCTGAAAAAAGCTGCACAGCACATCATCTGTGAAGGGCAAGGAGTATCAGCGGCCTTTTTGCCAGGACAAGATTTGATGGTCCCAGGCAGTAGACTCCTTGTTTACCAGGGAAGAAGTCAATGGAGTCAGCCACAAAGGAAGGACCATTACGAGCCTGGGCTCCTGGCTGCTGGTTGCAGTGAGCTGGCTTGCTTTAGCTATTGCTGAATGGAGAGCAAATGGTTCTAAGCTGGTTTTATCCCCAGAGTCCTTCCAAAGGTGTCCAAAGAGTTTGTGTGCTTCTGCAGTGCGGAGGAACCCAGCCAGTGGCTCCTTCTTTTCTGTCAGGCCAGGGGAGCTACACCAACGGTGGGCCAGCAGCTACCAGGGGCTGGTCTCAGCAAGTCTGAGGTGTCTCTGCACCTCAGTCTTTTGTCCAGACCATGGGGTGAACATCATCTCCCCTGCCATTGCTTTGGCCTTTTTCCTGTTTCTGGCAAGGCCCTTCCAGGGCTTTCCTGTGCCCAGCAAAAGCAGCACCATGTACCTCCCCAGCACCCTTGCCCTACAGCAAATCAAAGAAAGAAACTACAGAGCACTTTTCACTGCTCCAGACCTAAGAAGCCAGCAGGTCATAGTGGCCAGCAGGGCTCAGTTCCTCAGTCCCATGATGAGAGGTCAAACTCACTCTAAGTAGCACTGGAAAAACTGGGAAAACTTACAGTGAGCATTTTCTCTACCACATACATAGACTTGTTGAGACTTAGTAAAAAGTCTTTGCAAAATGCCATTGTCACTTCTGTTCCCCGGATAGCAAGAGTGCCAAGATCCTTTAAAATTAAGTCCACGTCTTCTCTGTTTCGTAGGATGAAGTAGATGAAGCCCAGCGTCTCCTGCATACAGTTCTGCACGACTTCCTCAGAATAGGGGAGGTCTGACTGGACCATCTTGTAGCTCACGGACACTGTCTTGATCTCCTCTGGAAACGAGAGAAGGAAGACTGTGAGTCAGAGAGCAGCTAGGCAGGCTCAAACCAGGTGACAGCAGCTTGCCAGTAAAAGACATTGCTGTGGCACTATCTGGTCTGTCCACCCAGTACAGCTCCTTAAATCATCACATCACCCTGGTTGGAAAGGACCTTGAAGATCATCAAGTCCAACCATAACCTCAATCCACCAACCATAACCTCATGTACCTGTTCAGGGCTTAAATCATGTCCCTGAGCACCACATCTCTATTTCTTTTAAACACTTCCAGGGATGGTGACTCCACCACCTCCCTGGGCAGCCTGTTGCACTGTCCAACCACTCTTTTGGTAAAGAAATTATTTATAACATCCACTCTACACCTCCCCTGGAGCAACTTCAGGCCATTTCCTCTGGTCCTGTCATTATTCACGTGAGAGAAGCGCCCAACTCCCACCTCCCTACAACCTCCTTTCAGGTAGTTGTAGAGAGCAATGAGGTCTCCCCTCAGCCTCCTCTTCTCCAAACTAAACAATCTCAGTTCCCTCATAGGACTTTTTCTCCAGACCTTTCACCAGCTTGGATGTAGGAGGTAAAGCTGATGTAGGCTCCTCCTCGAGTTAAGGTCAAAAAGCTCCATGAACAGATGTGCCAAGCTGAAGCCATGATTCCATAAACAGAAATGGGAAGCAAAGACCTCAGCCATCTGTGTCCATACTGTGCAGGATGGCAGGACAAGGGGAGGAAGAATGGGGCTGGTTCCCATGGGAAGAGCAGAGGGTGCCAGGCCATGGAGCTGAGCCCACTGACGCTCCCAGTCTGGAGAGACTTGACAATAAATTACCAAGCTCATAGTGCTGCACAGGCCCCACTGATGTACACTGCAGGTTCAGCAACAGCAGCAGTGGACAGAAATGGCAGCAGATCTGGCCTTCAGCAGGTTTCTGTGCTAGTCATCATTTTCATCTCTCCTTCAAGTCTCTCTGCAGCCAACTATGACCCCTGCATAAAATCAGGTCTAAGGGCTTGTGGGTATTTGCCTCAACCAGGTCTACTGCAGTACAAGTAGCAGCAGCATCTCAATGGCTTGATGGTAAACAGTTCCAATTAACAGCCTTCTGCCATCCTACAAATCAAGATATGTGCCTAGTGTGAGGCCGGTGGCTAAAGCAGAGTGTGGAGAGACTCTCCAACTCTGTGCAGCCTTCATAAAGACCAGAAGAAATGGCCCCTCTTGTTCCTTAGTGGGCTGTTTGGTTCATCCCACAGAGGTTGTTCTCAGGGCCCCTGAAGGCCTCTGATGTGTCCATCATCACTTCTAAATGGCAACCAGCAGTAAGGATGTAGGGGAAAACAAGGCATTTCATTGCTTTTCTTACCAGGAACAGGTACAGAAGCATGTTGCAGCCCACGGATCTGTGCAACATCCACAGACACTGAAAACTCAGGTTTCCGAAACACGTGCACCTCCCCATTTTCAAATGAGAGCCATCTTTTAACACGGAATGTCCCCAGTCCTGTTACTTTGACAGCCTGAGTCTGAAAAGAAGAAGAGCAGGGCAAGCTAGGTTGAAACAAAACTTCTGGAGAAGCTGGTCTTCGGCATGTTTGTGGCAAATCTGTAAACGGCAGTGCAGTCCTGGTAGGAACAATGGACTGGCTGGAACAGAGCTGCTGGGGCCCCTGGACCCATCAGGGCAAGGGGAGGGGTAGGAGATCCCACCTTTGCCTTCAGGAGCTGTCGCTGGACACGCTTAGATACACTGCTCCAAATAGTAATGACATCTGGGAAGTAAGGGAAAGACATGTCAGAGCAAGCTCAGGCCCCCTCAGCACATCTGCAGACGAGGGGACAGCAGATGCACATGGGCTTCAACACACCACTCAGGATAAACCCATCTGGGACACGGCCCGAATCTTTGACTGGCCTCAGCCTTCTTCCAACTAGACACCTTTCCCTGCAGAACCACATCCCTGGGTGTAACCCACTGCCAAGGGAAAGCCATCCATGGCACCTCCACCACTGGGCTGTGCAGGGCTCAGGGTGTCCCATAGGGCCTTCCCTGCCGGGATGATCCCCACCTCCCACAAGTCATGCTGTTCATCTTGTCTGCAGAACACCCAAGGGCCTTACCACTGACACTAAGCTTCTTGAGGGTGGGAAATGTGATGGTGCTGATGCCGTCAGCCCTGCTGCAGAGCTCAATGTTGGTGATCAGCGCTTGCAGGTCTGTCATCTTGCTTTGGCCAGCACGGGAAGTTACCACAGGAAGGACTTGAATGTCTCCTGCTGGGAAACAGCCCCTCTCCAATGCCCTGGCTGGTGCTTCACCAAACAGCTCCCACACTGTCCCACTGCCTCCCTTGGTCCTCTGTTTCTCAGGAGAGACTTCTCAAGACCTGAGACCATGGGAGGCCTCACTGGAAAGGTAAGGGAGAGGGCATGGGGCTTTCTGAGGGTCTCTGTGGCATGGGCTGGTGTCACAAAGGGATGCCCCCATGTCACACCATGGGGTGGAAGGTCTTAAGTTTGCTTAAAGAATCACCGAAAAAGTTACCAAGAAAAGGTGATTTTTAATATAAATATATGAAAGTGCAACTGAACAGAATCCAATGGCAAAGGTCACACTATGACTTACTGTGTGGAAGGGACATGTAGAAGTTGGACATGGATGGGAGAGACCTGAACAGGGATCAGGGGAAATGATTTATACAGGGATAGAGAAGACTAAGTTGGGGACAGGCTGGAGTGATTGTGTGCTGGTTTGAATTGGTGGGTTTGTTGGTAGTGGGAGAAGGATCCCAGGGGTGGCTCTGGTAAGAAGCTGAGAATCTCCCCCTGCTCCAAAACCAGCCAAGGAACCATCAGAGGGACAACAGATGCACCTCTGCCATTAACATACGAAAGAACTGAGACAAGAGCTGAGCAGAGAGAGCACTTAAAGAAAGAGAGCTGTGCTGGAGAGGCAGAGGGTGCTGCTGGTTGGTGAGGAAGAAGGCGAAGAAGGTGCCCAAGCAGAAGTTTCCCTGCAACCCATGGCGAGATGGCAGCTGTGCCTCTGCCCTCATGGAGGAACGCGGTGGGACATTCCCTGAAGGCACCAGGAGGGGTGAACTTGGCCAGTGGACTTGGATTTTGTGACCAGTGGACTCGGATTTTCTGCCAGTGCCCTCGGATGTTGCAGCTGTGGAAGCCCCCGGGCCAGGGGAGGTGCCTGTTCCCCAAGCCCCTGTGACTCTGGGGCAGCACTGGAGCAGCTCTGGGCTTGGTGGGAAGGACTCATGGAGGAGAGGTTGGTGGAGGATCTGCCATGGGAGGGACCCGTGGGGAAGCAGGGCAGGACTGTGAGGAATTCTTCTTCCTGAGGAGGAAGGAGCAGCAGGAACCACCAGCCTGTGAACTGACTCTAAACCCCATCCCCGTATGCCACTGGGGGGAAAAAGGGAGAGAAATGGGGAACAGAGTGATTTGGGCCAGGAAGAAGGGAGGGGTGGGGTGATGTATGTAGGCCCTGCTCTGTGTGTCCATGTCCTGTGTGTGTTTGAATAGTATTCAATTATTATTTTTTCCCCAAGTTGAGTTTGTTTTGCCTTAATTGGTGAAGAACCCTCCTTGTCCTTGTCTGGACCTACGAACTTCTCATTGGGTTTGTCCTCCCCAGCCCAAAGCATGTGTGAGGGGGGAGTTGAATGAGTGGCCACGGGGCTGGTTCTTTGTTGTTGTGTTGGGCCCAAGCCACAACAAAATAGCAGTAAATTAAGATTGCTTAACACAATTGCAGCAAATCACAAACTTAAAGTATATGATTTTCTAATAACTTAATCAAGAATCAGTTACAATCAATGCAGAGGTTAAAGTATAAATCTAACAAAGGGGTCGCCTCTGTGCATGTACGGAGAAGGGGCCTCTGGTCCTGATGAGCTTCTTCTGGCTGACCCAGGACTGGGGTGAGGTGGACACAGGGCCACCAGCAAAGCACAGAGCAGCATGAAGACAGGCGGGTCCTGCCATTTCAGAGATGCTGGGCTCCCTGTCACCCAGGAGGCTGCTGAAAGAACACATTGGCTGTTTTACGTACGTCCCCTTCATCACTTCAACTCTGTGCATTTTGGTTGGAACTGTAGACTTTCTTTAAAGAATTATACATCAGTTTCACTGTCTGAAAATTCCCGGTGCGCTACCTGGCAGCAGGATTAGGTGCCATAGGTAATTCCAGCTGGCCTGGCTCTAGCTGATACTTTGTCATCTGGTCATGCTACACCAAGTAGGTACATCTCACAAAATGCTTCAACTCCCATTTCCTACAGCCCAGCTGTTTGATACTCAAGTTGCCCACTTGTCCCCAGCAGCTACGCCAGTTTGCTTTCTCACAGCATGGAGAATTCTTGCTAAAAAGGCAGGACAGAAACATTTATTTGGGGAAGGGATGGTGTTTCCAGGGCTCACCCAGCTGGGCAACCTCTCAGAAACCATGTTCCCCTCCCACACCTTCAGCTTGAGTAGATGCTCTTTATATGATACATTTATTTTATCCCCTGCATCCCCTGCACTGAGGGATCACAAAGCTGTGCATACATCTCCGGCTACTTGGAGAAGACCTTCAGGTGGAGGGGGTCTTGAAGGCAGCGCCTCTGGAGCCCAAGTGTCCTGCCTCCCATTGTCCCAGTGAAGCCCTCACCCTGGCTGCCTAGTTTTATTTTTTATTTTTATACCTGTGATTTGGGAATAGAGGGTACAGAACATCCCCCTGATACCAACAGCGTGTGTGGGGGGAACACAGCTGTGGTTGATGTTCATGACACCAAGACACAGACCCTGCCACCAGAGCCCAGAGCTGCTGCCCCAGCCACAGAACACAGCCGGGGCCAAGCACAGAGCCTGCATCCAACAGAGACGTACAACTAATTCCAAGGGAAAAAAAAGGGCTTCAAAGTGTAAACTGTTGGTTGAGACCACAACCCACCGAAAACCTTTGCATAAATTACACTAGCATAAGGCTTCCATGCTGCCTGTGGTGAACAACAGCGGCCGTGAGTCACCGTGCGTGCCCGGGGGGGAGCCCGGGGCTGGGGCGGGAAGGAGCCCCCAGCCGCGCTGACCCTCCGCCATCTTGGCGGGGGGCAGGGAAGGGCAGGAGCGGCGCGGTCCCCAGCGCTGCACACGGCCCGCAGCGGGGCCGGCAGCCAAACCCCGCCTCCTCCGCTTCACACGGCCCCTTGCCCCATAAAAGGGCCGGGCTGCAGGCAGCTCCCGTCACGTGCCGGGGTTCGGGCTGGGTGGGTTTCTGGCCGAGTCCGGTTGTGGGGGTTTTGCCCCTTGGTTTTGCCCCTTGGTTTTGCCCAGTTCCTCACCTCCTGCGGGGTTCCCCTGTCCTCCGCCTGCCGTTCGTGCGTTCTGCCTCAGTTTGCAGGTGGCCTTCATGCGCTGAGAGGCAGGTTGTCTTTTCTGGAGGTGTTGGGCGTTTCTCACAGAGGTGATGGGGTTAGGTAGGTTTGTGGAGGCTCAGCTGAGGGAGGGATCATTTTCCTGCAAGGTCCAGGCCTCCTGCTTAGGAAAAGCTTTTTCCATGTCTATAGGCATTCCTTCTTTCAAGAAGGCGGGGAAGGCTTGTTTTGGGGAGTTAGGCTCACAGTTTTGGGAGGGCTAAAGGCTTAATTTAAACGGGGCTCAAAAAGAATACTTGGGAGAGGGGGTGTCTGAAACACTTTTAAAAAACAGAGGAAAACAACCAAAGTCTGGTGGTGCTTTCCAAAGGATCAGTGTTGACTGGAGATGATAAAAATGTTGAGAGCCTCTTCTTAGGCCCTCTGGAAATTTGTTGGGCTGATGTCAGCACTTCGGAGCATTGCTTTCAATGGCTTGTGTTTCATATTGACACACAGTATTCTAATTACCACATACTGCAGCCTCAGGGGAGGTCTGTGTTGATGTGAAAATCAAGAATCGAATACTGGTGACTATTAGATGAACCATCTGGCTCTTTCCTTAATATTATGGGGTTGATTTGAACCGATACAGATGATACAATTATCTGAGCAACCTGATCTAGGGGGGAGGTGTCCCTGCCCATGCAGGGGAGTTGGCACTTGATGATCTTTAAGGTCCCTTCCAGCTCCAACTGTTCTATGATTCTATTAATTGTGCAGGAAGTGTTTGTAGGTTCAGGTACTGACTTGGTAAACCTTAGTAGCTGCAGTCTGGTCTGAGGAGCACTTGTGAGTGGTGGTCATACATGTGTTAATGCAACTGTTTTATTAACAGACAGAAGAGTACCTGCAAAATGGCAACTGCTCAGAAGCAAAGGAATAGTGTGGTATGATTTTCTTGTGTATTCAGCACAGTACTTTACATGAATCAGAAAAATCAGGGAATTTCAGTTGAAATAGCCCACCTAAGGCTCTGTAATATTTCTTTACTTGAAAATTACAGGCTAATTCAGTCTTCTAACTATGAATAAAGTTGCTTAACAGCAAAATACTTTGAGCTTTGTGGTCATGCACTTGGTACAAATCAGATGTGACACCAGGTGTTAGGAGTATGTGTAACTTTATAAATTACAAAGCTCATGCTTTCCAATTAAATTAAAACATTAAGCAGGCATAGGACCAGATTGTAGACTGTACAGATTTGTTGCTGTGAACAGAGATTGATTCTTTTTAACTTTCAGAGTGCAGTTGTATTTCCTAACAAAATCGCTACTGAGCAGCAATCCCTGATGCTTGTGAAGAGGCTTCTGGCAGTAGCAGTCTCCTGCATCACTTATCTCAGAGGAATCTTTCCTGAAAGTGCCTATGGAACAAGATACATGGATGGTAACAGGCTGTTTTTCATGGTTCTTTGCAAAATCTGTTGTCATAGGGTTGTTATAAAGTTAATTAGTGTTTTTAAATCCACTTGGTCTTCTTAATTAAAGGTAATAGTAATTTTCAATGATTGCCATGGAAACTAGTACCTTTATTGCTGGATTTTGTTGGATAGTAGTGATGGTCACTCAGCAATTAAAACTATACCTACAACCATAGGCAATGTTACTTTTAGTCTGCTTTTATAGATGCTTTTAGGGAATGAACTTCACTTTCTTAGAAATGTAGTTAAGTTTTACTGAAGTAAATACACATGTATGTGTTCTCTGTTTTTGAGATCTCTGTGTCAAAATTCTGAGGGAAGACAAGAACTGTCCTGGCTCTACTCAGCTGGTGAAATGGTAGGTTAATTGCAGTGCATCAGTTATGCTTCCATAGGATGCCAGAACTAAAAGATGCTTTTCTAGTTTGCAGACACAAATATGTTCACTTGTGAATGAGCAACTGCCCAGGGAAATGTTTTTGGTGCATGAGGCACAGAATCCATGATGATTCTGTGATATTTACTGTTAACAATTTTGTTTTCAATGGGAAGGCAAGAAGTGTGTGTTTCAGTAGAGAGATAATTGACTTGTAAAATGGTGCATCTAGAACAGCTTACAATTTGGTGCTTAGTAGGGAACAAATCTTTGTTTGCAGTGTCAGTATACTTTTAGTATATTTAGTTTCTGACGATGTATATGAATGCTCAAGGCTGCATGTAAGTGCAAAATTCTAAACAGTAGTTATGCTTTCTTGAGCAGATTCAGTGTTACCATTTTCTTTTCTTAAAGGTCTTTCTCTCAGACTTGTATAAGAAAGAGATACTGTTTGCCTTCATATGCGACAGCAGAGTTGTGTCTGCAAACAGCCCAGCCACCTGTATGTTCTCACAGTTGAGTGTAAGTCACTCAACTGTCACTTTGGTGCTAGAGTTGTTTATTTTGATTTTCCTTCTGCTTACAATAGCTGTGATGTTTGATCATAGATGCTCTCCTTGCTGTTAGGAA